TTTCAGAACTTTACAGAACTTATCAAGATTATTCTTGTGGCGTTCTAACCTGACTTATCATTCTCATTCTTAATCGTTCGAGGGTGTGGCGTCAACCAAATTTATACCTCTGGTTCTTGTTGCGTTATAGACAACGGGTCAAGGTTTTTACCTTTGGTTCTTGTTGCGACATAAACAACGGGTCAAGGTCCTATTATAAACCTGATTTAGCTTTCCTGGAGTTTAGAAATCCCTTGTCGTGCTGTGGGTCTCATTGTTCTCTTTGGGGTTCTCATCAGAAACCTGTTAAGGACAAGGTGCTTTAAGAGGTATAACGAAGTCCATGATTCATAGTTAACTTGACATATCTTAAAATGTGCTTAAGTTGACGAAGATTGGCAATTGTAGGCTGCTACATAAATTGGCAAACCTTATTAACAGCATAATAAATATCAATTCTAAGAATGGTCAAATACTAAAGTGCTCCAACAATTTTCTTATGTTCCTATGCATCCACGAGCTCATTGTCTCTCAAAGTGTTTATTTCTTTGGTGGCCATTAGAGTGGCAATCGTTGATGCTTCAAGCATGGAAGCTTGAGTAAGAACATCTCTGGCATATTTAGCTCGTGATAGAAATAAGCCACCTGGAAACCTATTTACCTCAATGCCCAAAGATAATTGAGGTCGCCTAAGTCCTTGAAAGCAAGCTTGCTGCTCAAAGTGGTGACAATTTCTTAAAGTGATGAAACTAAACTTGTAGTGAGGATAATGTCAACAACATAGAGTAGGAGTAGTACACTTTCTTGACCTTGATGGAGGACAAACAAGAGTCGGTTTTGTTGCAATGAAATCCTATTTTTAGAAGTTGAAGAGTAAATGTGTCAAACGATGCCTTTGGAGCCTATTTTAGACCATAGATGGACTTGTTGGCTTACAGATGTAATCAGGGTGCATAGAGTCTTCAAAGCCAAGCAGTTGAGTCATATACACTTTTTCCTTTAATTTTCCATAAAGAAATGCATTCCTCTAGCTACCTAAGTGGCCAAGACAATGTTGTAACAATGGCAATGACTAACCTTAGTGTTGTAGCCTTGAGAACTGGGCTAAAGATTTTATCAAAGTGCACTCTTAGTACTTAAGAGTATCCTTTGGCCACTAATCATGCCTTAAACTTGTCTACATGTCCATCAGGATGTAGCTTTGGCTTAAACACCCATTTTGAGCCTACAACATTTGTTTGTGGAAAAGGTGCTAGAACTAGTGTCCATGTGTTGTTGTTGTGTAGTGCCACTAACTCTTTTTTCATGGCATGGACCTAGTGTGGTAGTTGTAAAACCCTCTTGATAATTTTAGGTTCTTGAATATCCAAATTTGTAGTATTCAAAGAGGGGGTATTAGTGATCATATTATGAGTAGACTTAGGAAAGATACATGTCTTGTGTGCTTCCTTAATTTTGCTCTAGGCATCATAGGGTGAACAGATGTCGAAGTGGAATTATGAGCTGGTGGGAAAGCTCTTTTTTTATTCAAGTTGGATTTTGCTCTGGTCATCATAAGGTGAATAGATGTTGAAGTGACGGATGTTAAAGTGGAATTGTGAGGTGGTGGTGAAGCTCCATCTCAATTTGAGCTGGATACTTGTGCTTAGGAAGGTCGAGATTGATTAGATTCTTCCTCAGCAACATTTGGTGGAAATGAGTTAGCCACTTGATTGCCTTTAGGAATAATTGAAGCTGAAAGGGATGTAAGTTCCTCTTAGGTATTTATTGGATCTAACATACTTTATGGTGAATCTGCTTCATTATGTTCTATTAGTGGTGTTGCCTCTCTAGAGATTCTTGCGTTTGCATCACTGTTTTCTTCCTCTACATCTATATTTATGATTGGAATGCATTCAAAACAAGCAAGTGTAGATTTGGCTCATCAAACTTGCTCGATGGTTGTAAATTTGATGTGCTTTGTTTCCACCCATTATAATTTGGATATTTGCAAAGTTCTTCACTTGTACTAGTATTACTAGAAAGCTGTGTGAGATTAGTGTAAGAAAGAAAATTTTCATCAAAAACTACGTGCCTGGATACATATACAAGTTGAGTAAGAGGAAGTATGCATTTGTATCCTTTATAAGTTGTACTATAACCAATGAAAACACAAGGCAAAGATCTAGGGTGCAACTTATTTGCAGCATAGTCTCTAAGATATGGAAAACAGTGACATCCAAAAACTTTCAACATAGAATAATCAGGTGATTTACCATATAGGAAATAATAGGGACTCTTGTTTTTTAGTATTGGTGAAGGCATTCTATAAGAAAAACTACAATAGAGAAGTTGTCTACCTAATACTATGGTGGCATGTTAGCATGGAGAAGCATTGTCAAACCTGTTTCAACTATATGCCTATACTTTCTTTTTGCAATTCCATTTTGTTCAAGGGTTCTAGGACAAGAAACTTACTGTTTGATGTTGCACTCAACTAAGTGATTGACAAATGCCTTACTAGAGAACTCTCCACCACCATCGCTTTGGAAAACTTGTATATTCTTATTAAATTGGTTTGCCATCATCTTTTGAAAATTTTGAAACACATCAAAGAAGTTAGACTTTTTATGAAAGGGGTAAAACCATGTATACCTGTTATAGTCATCTACAAAAATTGCACAGTAAGCAAATTGATTAATTGATTTAATTGGGGAATGACCCCATAAATCACAATGCACTTTCTAAAATAACGAAGCAACTCTTTCATTATTCCTATTAAAAGGTAGCTTACATGATGAGAACCCCAAAGAGAACAATGAGACCCACAGCACGACAAGGGATTTCTAAACTCCAGGAAAGCTAAATCAGGTTTATAATAGGACCTTGACCCGTTGTTTATGTCGCAACAAGAACCAAAGGTAAAAACCTTGACCCGTTGTTTATGACGCAACAAGAACCAGAGGTATAAATTTGGTTGACGCCACACCCTCGAACGATTAAGAACGAGAATGATAAGTCAGGTTAGAACGCCACAAGAATAATCTTGATAAGTTCTGTAAAGTTCTGAAACGAACCAAAGAGAAAAGTCTCTTAAAACTCAGATTCAATAGCTCCCCCCATTAGGGTTACAAGCCCTTTAAATAGAGAAAACAAATCCTAATCAGAATAGGAAATTAACACCCTAAGGCCTAAACCTAATAACCACGAATTGGGCTTCAAATAAGCAAATGTTCAGCCCAAAAATAATACAAAAAACGTGACAATCACTAAAAATAACCTAAAATAACACGAAATATCAGTTTGCTACAAGTTGCGGCAGAATTGTGTGATTTTGACGCAAACTGTGTAATTCCATGCAAATGACCTCAACTAAGCTTCTCTTGAACCTGAATGATGTTTACCATGCCTTGATAATCATCCAAGCTTCGATTTGCTTGTTGTATGTTGTTTTCAACCCAGATCTGCTCAATAAGTCCATTTAAAGCTTCACGCATCTTCTTAGCCCTAGCTCGCGTGACTGGACCTCCTTGGCTGTGTAACGGATCACATGACGTAGTAGATATGTTGTTGTCTTGATTCCCATCATTACAACTTTTTCCCATTTGACATCCAAAGCATAAAGATGGAGATTTAGTCCATTTTGACACTACAATGTTGTTTTTGGAAGCTAGGGTCTTTAAGACATTAGAATTAGGATGTCTTCATCTCTAGTGCCAAATAAAAATATGTTGCTTTATTTGAAATGGTTGTAAGTGCAAGTTTTTCTCCTTCTTTAAGGGCAAATAATTGTCCCTTTCTAGTTCCTTTTGCTAGCACCTTTTTGTGTCACTTGATCTTTAATCACAAAACCATTAGATGACAATTCAAATATGCAAGGATTTTCATCAATAAACTTACTAACTAAAATAAGATTTTGCTTAAGTTTAGGAACAATAAGAACATCATTTAGTTTTAAAGAACTAATTGAAGCAGTACCAGTTTGTGAAATACGTAGTGGGGTACCATCACCTATAAAAACTTTTTGTTGTCCATTGTAAGGTCTTTTAACATAAAGATTACCTTGATTTGAAGTCATATGATCTGTAACTTCGGTGTCAATGTAGTAACTTGGATCTTTGTCATCCACCATCATAAGTGCTACAAGTGCTTGTGTAGCTCCTCACTTTGATATGCATGATCAAATCTATACCAGCATTTTAGTGCTATATGTCCTATAATTCTACATATTTGACGAAGATTCTCACCTTGCTATGTATTTTTCTATTACAACCCTGGACGCATAGTTTGTTATGAAGTTGGATTCTTATTCATTAAGTTGTTTCTATTATTGTTGTTGGACCAACTATGATTGTGATTACTAGCTTGGACAAATCGTCTCCCATGAGAATTGAACTGCCTACTATTGTATCCTCTACCTTGGTTGCCTTTCCCTTTTTGTGCCACAAAGACTTGAGGGTATACTAAGACCTTGCTTTCTTGTTCTACAGCTTGTAAGTCTTTTCCATTATTTTGCAATCCTATATTGTACTAATTAAAGGTAAGATATGGTTCATTTGATAGAACTACAAGATTGTAATGTTGGTATCTGGTGCCTACAACTTTGGACAATTGAAATACCCTACCCAAGTCATTAAGAGGCTTGCGTATTGCAGCAAGTCTATCACAAATCCCTTTGAATTTCATTATGAAAATTTTAAGTGATTCATTATCCCCCTTTTTGATTGCTAATTGCCTTTTAAGATGCAATTTTTTCTCTTTAGTTAAAGCTAAGTAATGCTCTACAAGACATTTCCAAATTTGAGATGCTGTATCACATCTAAACACCAAACTGAGTGCCTCCTCGTTCATTGTTCTGAGCAACCAACTAGTTAGCAATCCATCAGTATTTAGCCAAACATAATAGTTTAGATTTGGCTCCTTTTTGCCATCCTTAATAATACTTTTTTCAAGAGCTTCCTCTTCAAGGTGATGCATCAATTGAGCACTCTAATTAATGGAAATACTTGTGATTTCCAAAGTAGGAAATTAAAGCTAGATATCTTTACTGAGACCAAGCTTACCATTCGAAGGAAGTTTTGAATGGTAAGCATGCTCTTGCCTTTGGCCATAAATATGAATTGGTGAATTTGTTTTAACTATTTAGATAGGATTTAATCAAGAACCAAGAAGACAAAATATTCAAATGCAAAAAATGACCTACTCTGATATGATGTGGAAAAGAAATGGAAGATGAAAGGAGTTTGTGAATACTTGAGTTGTACATTGATTGAATAATTTTGTATAGCAAGCATCTGTATATATATATTTACATGTTGTGTTAGATCCTAAATATATACCTAGAATTATGTATTGGAGCCTAGTTTTGACTATTGCTCTATTTCTGTGATTATAGGAGATAGTTTCCTTTCTTTTTTGTCATTTATTTCCTTGCTTGATTTATGGCTTGACTTGCTACTTGATTCTACTCCTATTTCCTTACTTGACTCTTGCCTTATTGAGTGGGAAAGTCCCACGTTGTGTGTATAAAAAAGAAGTATGTAGGTTAAATACAAGGAGGGCCACTCCACCTATTACCAATTGGTTTTAGGTTGGATGCAAATCTTGTATTGAAGCCCACATGCATAATTTTCACTTAGTATCAGAGCCCAAGTTCCATCCTCGAAAGCTCGTTGTTAGCCCACTTGATAAGACCTGAAGTTAATTATTAAGCTACGTGACAAGACTTGACATTCATAGTAAGCTTGCACATGAAGAGGCATATTAAGTGGGAGAATCCCACATCATGTGCATAAGAAATAAGTATGTGGGTTAAATACAAGGAAAGTGATGGGAATCAAGATGACCCCACATGTACCACATCAAGAGATCCATTACACATTCCAAGAGGTCTGGTCACGAGAGCTAGAGCTAGGAAGATGCGATAAGCTTTAAATGACCTTATTGAGCAGATCTGGGTTGATAACAACATGCAAGAAGTAAATCGAGACTTGGATGATTATCAAGGCATGATAAACATCATTCAGGTTCAAGAGAAGCTTAATTGAGGTCATTTATGCTAAACTAC